CTTCGAAAACTACGCGTACCTTCGTCGTCGTACTCGATGGTTTTACGACGGCGTGGTGCGGCAGGTAGAAGCCCGTTGCGTCGAAGGTTTCTACATGCGTCATGTGTCCGAGCACGAGATATTCGCTCATGACCGCAGTATATTCTTTTCTCAATTCCGGATCCTGTTATAATTTCCGTTGAAGCGAACGGAAGCGATGCAGGGCGCGCGTCCGAGATTCGCCTAGTTCGTCCCGTTTTTTCGTTGAACTACGTATCGCCCGGAATGGTCGTGTCGAACGTTCTTCACGAAATGCTCCTCGCACTTGCGCTCTTCAGTTGATGAGTGTCGAACCTCAGGTCCTTCTTCCACTTCCCAGAATTTCTGCAAGTTGAAGTCTAGATTCGCGATGAAGGTCTTGCGTGTCGTACGTGCGGCGGCGACGGTTGGGACGTTTCCCCCTGAATCAGATCTCGTCCGCTTCGATCTGAAAGGTCGTGTTGTCCGATGCTGAGACACGATAAAGCTGGGCCAGCACCTATGAGCATGTCGATCTTCCCCGGCCGGTGGAAATGTGGATCTGCTAATTTTATGTTCGGCGGTATTGGTAATGTCGTTCTGTCTATTTGCTTGGCCGGTATTAATTCTGATATTTGAGGGATTATGAAAAAGGTTAACGTCCGCTGGTAATTGGATGATTTTGACTTAATTTTTGTGGTAACGAGTTTATTTGCTACGGTTCTTCACTGATTGAGCCGCTGAATCCCTACGGAAGCCCGCGCCGTTAGCAGGTGTAGTTCTTTTGCGAGGTTTTCTGTCATAAAGTTTGCATTTGAGCAGGTATCTATCAGTGCCCGACAGTGAATGGGTCGTCGGTTGTTGTCAAGTACCTTAATGACCGCGGTTGCCATTAAGCCGTTCGTTTGTTCTTCAGGTATCGGGGTAGCGCTTTGTCGTTGTAACGTCGGCCGTCCTGTACGCGAAGGTGTATGTCAGCTTTTCCTATCTTCGCGTGATGCAGTATCCCGCTGGAGTTTCGTGTTTTTTCGATTGTCGCAAACCCTGCATCGTCCAGCTCGACAGTCTTCGGTCGCGTAATCCGATTGAAGGTAATTTTCGCAGAGTTTTGCCTTCTTTGTCGCTTGTATCCAATTTTCGACCATTATGCCGAGAAATTTCGGACACTGGTAAGCGGCGCGTGATCCGCCGTTGCATATCTTGCAGTTGGAAACGGTGCTGGTTACGTAAGTCTGCCGTGTTTTCCGTGACGATGGCGGCGACCATCGAGACGACGTTGGTTGAATTTTCACCGATGGTGATGGTTTCCATTTCGGAACCGGAGACCGTTGCGGACGGTATTATGTCGGGTGATGGCGAGAATTATCCGTCTGTTGATAATTTGCGACGCGATTCGCAGATGTTTTAAAATGTCTACCGCTTTAGCAACTTCGGTGTCCCCGAGCGTCCGTTCCCAGGCTCTTCGCGTCTCCGTAGACATTTTGGAGAACATCATACTTGTTAAGAAATCACTGGCTATATCTTCCCAAGTCCGGCCGAGTGCTTGGAGAGATCGTATATGTAGCTGTATATGGTTTACGAAGTCGCGTATGGCCTCTGGCGAATCATTGACCATCGGAGGAGTATCGCGTAGCAAGGTGGCATGACGGAGTACGAGTACGCGTTTCTTATCGTATATCTCCCAGAGCTGATTCCAGGCGGCGTCATAATTTTCTTCGCTGATTGTAAACGTGTCGATTGCGAATTACACTCGTCCGGTTAGCGATAGTCGAAGGTATTGCAAGTCCGTAGAATTTCGGCAAATCAATTTTCGGGAGATGAACCGGTAGCGCGAAGGATGACGTTAAATTGTTGAGCCGGTTGATTTAAACGATCGAGCAATACGGTCGCGGTAGTTAATGTGTCGTCGAAAGCTTCGGTTGTTTCGCGTTCACGTTCCGCGTCCTCTACATTTTCGAATAGGGCGACCTCATTTTGAATGTCTTCGAAAGCATCGAAATGTTTTTGCAGACGTTCGATACGGTTACGAAGCTTTATTCGTTCGCTCGTGGAATCTTCGAATGTACCGACGAAGTTGGTGAGCATCGTTATTTGTGTTTTAAAAGCTCGTCGCTTTTGCTTTAACGCTGGTATGCGTGAGTCGGTTTCAGAAACTCTTTGCGTGTTTGGCTTCGTCACTTTCCGATTGAAATGAGGTTAAAATGAAGAAATTGGAAATATGGAATACTTGATTGGCAAATCTATAACGTGCCTACTTTGACTCGATTTCGATTAGACTCGTCTCAGAACCGCACGTTGTCGTTGACGATGTCGTTGATAATTCCGGAATCGTGGTAGCTCCGCTTCCAATCTGGATTCCCAGCATCAGACCTCGAATCGGATGGTTGACTGCTTTCCTTGGATCCACTTGTGCACTGCAATTTCACAGAACGCGGCCTCCCGCTCGAAGGACCATGAAACGAATTGTGTTTTCGTTGTGTCACGACTTACCGCGCGAATTTTAATTCTGTTCGGGGTCATAAATCCCGAAGTAACCGTTCGGTACGCGACTCTTCTTGACACTTGTCCGCCAAATTAATATTGGACAATTAGATCGATTAGGTTAAATCCCGACTGATGGACTGTAGTTCCCAAAATTTAAAGTATTCACGTTGTCCCGAACGATGGACTCGTGATTACTAAGAGCGTATGATTATGAGTCTCGTATGAGTGACTCGATTGAACTTGTATCTGTCCCGAACGATGGACTTGTCGGTACGATAAAATGTTTGTAGAGTGAGTTTGTGGAGTGAGATGCGAGTGCAAGCCTGTAGGTGTTTTTATACAACACCTTCAGGTCGCATCGAGTGCGCTGATTGGGTATTTCCGACTTTCCAATTAGCGCATAATTCCAAAAATCGGGGCGTTTTGGACGACGCCCTTTTGCAAGCCCTGTTGGTGTAACGGTGAGGGCGACGGCCACGTGCGGGGAATCCTCGAAGATTTGCCGATGCCTTGGAAATTTCCTCCAGGTTGATTCTTGTCTGGTGGAACCGTTACGAACGAGGTTCGAGTCGACCCTTTGGAAATTCTCGGTTTACGATATGGTCGGTTATCGGTACGAACGAAGTAAAAATTCCAAAACTATTGTCTGAACACGCGCGGAGTGACTAAATGATTTTACCATGATTAGGATGAAATTGCTCCTTGTAACAAAAAAATAAACTGAATTCGAAAAAAGTTAATCCCGAAAATAATTTTGTTGGCACGTCCATGTCGTATATGAATCTTCGAGAATTTTCGCCGTTTTATTCCGCATCAGACGGAACACAGCGTCCCAACTAATGATTCATCAATTGATGGTTCTGTATGTGGTGTATAATGTAATTTGAAGACTCTGTTAGCATGTCTAACAAGTGGCTCGAATTTTTCATAGGGATTGTAGGAATTTTGCAATAGGTAAAATATTTCAAAATTTGTTGAAATCTATTTTTCGGGAACATTTTTCGGAACTACGGTATGTTCCGTGAATTTTCGGTCCAATACGAGCATATATTGAGTCTTATTCTAATTTCCATTTCTAATAAGAGTGCTGCAAATGTCTTCATCTCTAATACAGTAACTGGTGTCCAGTTCTGTATTTTAGACGATTCTAATGCTTCAGATAAAAGCCCCGAATATTCCGCGTATTTATTAGTTTCTTTGACTATTAATGACCATAATACCGAATCAGAAAATAGTTCAAAGCATTAGATGGGTTTATTTTCGCTAGAGAAGTTGTATTACGTTCCAGAATTGTCGGTATACTCGAGAGGATTATGTTGAATATAAATTTCTTCGATAATTCCTAAAGAGCTCGTTGTACTTTGGAGTTCTAAAAAATGACTGTCGCTCTCTGAAGTATTTAAAAGATGTTGTCTTTTACACTTGTTAGCAGAAACGATGTCGTCGTCATCTTCGTCACTTAAATAACTTGAATTTTCGGTTATGCTTATAATTTTTCTTTTTTGCTTCATTATACTTTTCTGGGATACAATAAATTATAAAACTTAAATCAATAAACCTAAGTCAATTGTATATTTACCTTCTCCTAATTTTGAAGGACACAATTATCAGCGATGATAAGTATTTATGCAATAATACGTCCGATCAGTTTGACAACTACATTAACACTATGCCGCCCGATGACACCACGTTGGTGTCTCGCGAAAACAGTCGGACAAATGCCGGTGACACCACGTTGGTGTTGTGTACCGAGCTATCAAACAAATGCCGGTGACACCATTGGTGTCGCATGTGAAGCTACCGAAATTTTGCGAAAATGGAGGGACAGGATTGAGAACTATGGAGATTAGTAAAACTTGAGGTTCGATGATCTCCCGAAACCTTGAAGAAACCCCCGTGACAGGCGAAATGATCCAAACGAGTCCTACCGGCGCCAAACAAAAGATCCCCGATTACGCGCGCAGACAGCATAGTGTTAAGTTTGACGACGTAAAAACAAGTGTAAATTCGTTACCTGGAAGCAGCAAACATAAATTCAAACAAGCGCAATAGCGCTGATTGGTATTTGTTGACACAAAATAAAAAAACGCTATTGCGCCGCTTGGCTTCTTTCGCAATTAGTTCCGACAATCTCGTTAGGTTGCTCACCCGTTCGCGATCACCAGTCGCTTCAATTTCCGAACTTAATCACTTCCGTACGGCGCTCATCGACCTCGAAACCTTGCCCACAGCCGGCATTCACCATCCGCACGCTGTTTCGTGCATCGACAGTGAATCCGTATTGTTCTTTTACAGATCTGCGATGAGGAAAGCTTTGAAACACTGAAAGCTTGTTTTACATTTCAGGCAGCATTACTTCTAATGTAAATCAACAGAGCATATGTGTTTATTACGATATTTCTAAATGTTCACAATTTTATTTTGATAAATGAAAAATTAGAAAATTCAATTCAATATTATTGTTTTATTTCATTCATATCGTTAAGAAATAAGCAAATTTTTGAATATTACAATAAGTGTTATTGTTTGGTATGATATATTTCGAAGCATGGGACTACATATAGGCCAACATTGTATTGTTTACGTTAGTATCTAGTATTACGCCTTTTGTTATCCTTTGAACACACGATACATTTTCTCAATGGATTTTTCCTTTTTGTTTTATGACTATTGTACAGGGCTGGAAAATGTCTTTCTTTGAAATGTATGAGATATGCCGATAAAGTACCAGGGTTGTATTCCCTTGATTCCGAGTACTGCTTTAGAAGTTATGTTATTAACACGTTCCGTGCCACGGCAATTTTTTAAGATTTTCCATTCAGGCCACGTGGGGCGTATACAACCCACACTTTAAAGACTAAAAAAGTATTTTAAGACGTATGCCTTACATTTCTTTCAGTACTACAAAGCTATAATTAGCAGGAAAAAGGTATAAATTTTAATATGCATTAGACAACAAAGCAATAAATTTAATTTTTAAGGAATAATTTTAACAAACACAAGGTCGAACGTTTCCTCTACCAGACGAGTTGCAAGCTCCTACATAACCATTTTAATAAAGTCCAAATGCATAAAAAATAAAACATTTTACTTCAAATATGTTTAATATTATTACTTATAAATCTATTTACGATTATAAAGGCATATTGCGACTTGTCTAGACAACCATCACAAAATGTTATAACTTTTTTAGTACAATTTTTTGCCGATTTCGAGCCAAACTTTTTAACATTACTTTCATAGCAAATTTTGCAGCGTTTTCTAATTAAATCAAATTCGCCATCCTTTTTTTAATTTCATGGCGAACTCTTTTTGGTACGTTGGATAAAGAATTATTATCTTCGTGGGACATCCTTTGCATAGCTAATTGTTATCTAAATTCAACACTTGATATTTTATTGTTTGTTATGTATTATCCGCGCATTTACGACAGCAGTATTCAAAAAAAGTTCAAAAACAATTTTTTTACACCATTTTACGGATTTGCGTAAAGGATTGCAGTATGACGACATTTGATCGGAAACAACTACGTAAGATTTTCCTTCATTGTAATGTATCAATTTTTGGTTTGACACAGTCATACCCCCTTTTCCGTACAACGACAGTTTCGTCAGAGTGCTTTGTAGATAATAAAAGGACGTCGCGTTTGTCTTTCCATTTTAGTACCGTTATACCATCCAAACTTTCTTTTGCAATATATGCGTTACGCTTTAATTTTTTTGCGACCAAATCTTTTGGAATGCCGCGGCGATTCGACCGCATTGTTCCAATGAGATGAGTGTTTCTTGCAATTAGTTGCCTAACCAAGTCGACACTTGTGTACCAATTGTCGGTACACAGTGTATGACCCTTACCAAATATGTTTTTACGTAATGACAAAATTACATTTGTAGGCGTCCTTTTCTCCGTGTCTGTTTTTTCTCGCAATAAATTTGAAAATTGACCATGTATCCCGGCCCCCAACATAATTTAAATATTTTTACACCGTATTTGTGTCGTTTTTGCTTTATGTACTGCTTCAAGACGATGCGACCTCGAAAGGGAATTAAAGATTCATCTACACAAACAATTTCGCTTGGATCATAGTGCTTTTGAAAATTTTCGTTTAGCATGTCAATTATGACTCGAATTTTGTACAAACGATCGTTAGGATTTTCATTTTCCTTATCACAGAAATGTAACATTCGCAACAAAAGCTCGAAACGATTCCTTGGTAGTACCGAAGAAGGGAGACTTTGAGCATAAGCTGCATCTTTGGACCAATATAAATGAACTTCCGGAAGTTTTACTATGCCCATCCACATGATGAGCCCAAAAAATCGTTTCATTTCGGTTTTATCTGTCGGTTTCCATTTGTCTAACCGCGATGACGTTTTCTCAAACATCTTTTCCGCATATCGATTGGTTTCTTCCGCCATAATTTCGAGGATTCTATCATCCAGTAGCAAGAAATAAATGTCTCCTACATTTTCATAATTTTATAGAGTGGTCAGAGATTTGGTAATAGAAAAACAATTTATTTTTGTTGACTTTACAAAATATGAGCCTGTTGGGGTCGCGGTCTATCCCGTGAATGATTTAGAAATCGCGACTTAGCGAAAAGAGTGGACTGCATTTGAACAACTTAGTCGGGTTACAAGTTTTCTAAGTGTGACTCTCCTAATCGGTGGTTCCTTTGCGAATGAATTTTGAACTCGCGAGTGTTTCTCAGCTCCCCCTTGGAATTTGCAATTGTCCACTGATTGGTTCTTCCTTAACACGTCGGTCGCAGATATTTCGGTGTTTTCTTAATTTTATACATGTCATTTTCCTACTCGCTACAATTTCGATTTAACATTTTAAAACAATGTGCACCTTCGAAAGGCATAAGCTGTGGTTGGTTTCCAATAGGATTAGACCAGTCCGTGGTAGAAGCATTTGTATTATTGTTAATAATATTCGATTCATCTTCTTCGTCTTCACTGCTTGATAAAATTATATTGCGACCCACAAGGAGACGATGAAAAGGTATTATGACGCTTGAGCTGTCTGTTGAAGAATCATGAGAACTTATGCGTGTAATCCTACGGCGTTTTGCTATAGCTTCTGATAGTGGCATATCAGAGTCCTCGCTCAAAAATTGTTCATTGGGCAATTCCATTTTTGGTCATAAGGGATAAAAATTATATAATTATTTGTCTGTAGCACACAAATAAGTATATACTTATTGTATGTTATGTATCCTCCGTTTGATTTCACTTTAGAAGCAAATAAACTGAACTAAATAAAACTGAAAAGTTTTGAACTGAATAAACACCAGCTTTAAATCAAACAGTAATTGTTGCTTCAACAACGCGCGAATAAATGACTAAACGATAAAATGTCTCCTGTTTGATAGAGTTGACATAAGACAGTTGAAAAAAAATGACTACCACGCCGCGTGGGGCGTATACGCTCCACACTACAATAAACGCTGTATACATGATGTGAGGTTGTCTGTATTTGACTGTACATCAAATTTTTTAAGAATTCTTTGTTTTTTAATGAGAATTCCAAATGGCCTGAACGGAAAGTGCAGCGGGGGTCGTATACGGCCCACATGGCACGGAACGTTTTAAAGCCAAATGGTATTCAGAGATCGATATATTCTTTTTTGTGTCAAACTAATATAGACAATATGCATTCCATATTGAAATGTCTAGTGTTCGCGAACGCGTCCGCGACGATGGTAGTCGTTATTTCTGTTTTCGATGTCATGATTCACGCTCGGACCCTACGACGTTCTACAGTGATAGGGTTAGTAAGGGTGTTGAATTGGTTTGTTTGTTTTAACGAAAAAATATAATTTCACAATTTAAAGTACAAATGTTGAAGTAAAACAGTGACTCGGACAATTTCATCAACACAAAGGTTGATTTGTTTTTTTTGGCTGCTTGTTTCTAAGGCGAGCCAGTGGTCATGGGGTGGTTTGGTTCCAGCCTCGTAGTGCGAAAGACCGGGTTCGATTCCCGGTGAAGGTCGATTTTTCCGAGTTGGGTTTTTCTCGCATTGCGATAATGGAGCCTGACCCCCTGATCACGGGGAGAATAATTTCGGCAAGTTTCGGGGTAACCCAGAATTTTAAGAAATTATTCTCTCAAGTCGGACCATCCCTACCATAGCTACACTATATGGTACTCGCCGCCCTACTCCTACAGACGGGACTATGGTAAAAGGGGTTGGCCGGACGCAACGGGAGAGGCGGCAGCACATGCGTATGCATGGTCTGTGCCGCTTGAGTGACGGAGGACCTGGCGTAGCCATGCTTGATGTGCGCCCCAGCATCATAGCGTGTTACGGGGAATAGTCGTGGTCCTTGGAGAATGGGGCTATCTCGCGAAATGGTTCTCGTAGTCCAAACGAATAAAGGTTTCAAAAATGAACTAAGATTCGACGTAGTTAGTGTTTTCTACAATACTGTCTTTATTGTGTTTTTTCGAGGTACTTATATACATAGGTTCTCAGGGGAGGGGTCGATTTCTAAGCTGTCTATGAGTTAGTTGTTTTGGAACATTTTAGATAGCGCATAGTTTGTTACGGTATGACTCGGTGTGCTACTCATCGCTGTCGGGGTGGTTATCTCTGTTTTACCCGTTACAAGCACTGCGTCAGTGACGCGCGGGTCCGTCTCCGATATCGATGTTCCTTAATAAAAAATGGCCCGCAATAGTCAACCCCGGTGTTGGTGAAGGGACGAGCCTCGGTAACCCTTGCTGCTGGCAGGTTACCCATGACGTAGTTGACCATTAGTGAATGGGCTCGGAGACAGCATAGGCAGGTTTTTATGGTCTTATCTGGCTCCGGCCGTCAATGGGCCAATAACGGCGTCTAACTGCGTAGAGTGTGTTTTGGATACCGGTCTGTAATTGAGCCCGATGCTCTAAATCGATTATGAGGGTGGTTATGCGCGACTTCGGAAGAATAATCGGATGACGTTGAGAAAATGGCACCAGGGAATGCTTAAGTCGTCCCCCCACTCGCAGAATACCTTCCTTGCCTATGGATTTGATGAATTTTGTGTTGGAGTTCGAGAGAAGTCGCAGTTCTTTGAAAAGTATCGTTGTTGCAGAAGTTTGATTAGGATATTCTGGGCATTCCGAAGTTCTGATACTGTGAGGTTACTCTGTTCGGTATTTGTCCTTTTCCAGCGGAGACAACGCTTGATGATTCATTGCATCTTGTTCCGCGAGGAATACTTGTCGAAAATGCTTGTGTCGACGGATATTGTGGTTAGACAAGTTGCGGGTTTTTGTTCTGGGATGATGTTGTATGGTATTATTTCGTTGGTTGGCTACACGGATTCTTTCGTTTTGAGCCATCCTAGTCCGTGATGCCAGATGGATGGTTGGAGGAACTCTTGTGGGCTTTGGCCTCGCGAAATGAGATCTGCGGGGTTGTCCGATGTTGAAACATGTCGCCAATCCTTGATGTTCGTTTTCGTCTGGATCTCAGATAGCCTGTTCGCGACGAATGTTTTCAATTTGTGAGGTGATGCTTGTAACCAATGAATAACGATGCTGGAATTGGTCCAGAAGGTGGTGCTGTCTATTGCTACATGAAACCCCCTTTTTGCTGTGGCAACCAATGAGGTTAGAAGTACTGCACCACAGAGTTCGAGTCGCGGAATAGTCTGAGTTTTTAACGGTGCTACTTTGGATTTTGCTAGGAGAAGCTCTACGTGTATGCGGCCGTTCGTGTCTATCAAACGGACGTAGAGACATGCTCGGTAGGCCTTCTCACTAGCATCACAGAATCCCTGTAGCTCTGTCTTAACTGGAGAATTTATTACTGTTTTCCTATGGAACACTGCATTGTTGAGCAGTGGTAGCTGTTTGTATAATTGAGCCCATTCTGTGTGAAGTTCCATGAGCAAGGATTCGTCTCAGTCTACCTAGACATTCCAGATCTTTTGTAGCAAGATGTTGGCCACGATGATCACAGGACCGAGAAGACCTAACGGGTCGTAGATTTTGGCGATTTCTGATGCGATAGATCGTTGGTGATGTGTGAGGTGACGAATGATGCCTTGACCTCGTATGATATGGTGTCATCCGAAGAATTCCAAACGATTCCTAAGGTTTTCAGCGTTGATGATTCATCGCGATAAAGCTTTTTATTGATCGTTTGGTCCGGTAACCCATCCAATAATGCCGTATGGTTAGCCGCCTATTGTCGGGTGTTCAACCCTGCTGACTTGAGCAACCGCGTTAGATCGTCTCGCAGCACGCGTGCCTCTTCGATGGTCGAGGCTGGTTCTATTGCGTATCTTTCTGTCCTTTATAAAGAAGGGACCGCAATAATCTACTCCTACCGTTTGAAATGGTCGAATTGTTATATTACAGTCACGAGGTAAATTTTGTCACGCGTAAGTAAGTTATACCTATTTCAAGCATTGTGAGCTATTTCGCATCACTGCGAAATTTTACCAAAGAAGCTACTACGCGATTTAGTAAATTTATTGAGGAAAATCTTTGTAATAATTCGTTAGTGCTTTGATTTGCTACTAGTGACACTATAGTACGTTGTTCTGGAATCTCTCTCAAAGATCCTAAATTGGTAACTGGCTACTGACGTTCCTCTTGCGTAAGCCATGATGGACCGTTTAGCCATGTGTGATTTTTAAGGAATAGTGCAGGCGACTGTCCCCGCGATATGTAATCCGCTGGGTTGTCATGACCTTTTACGTGGTGCCAACGTTGCATATCAGTTAAAGATTGTATTTCCTTTACACGATTATCCACGAACGTTTTTAACAGGTGTGGAGATGTTCTAATCCAGTTCAACGTTATTATTGAATCTGATCAAAATCCAATTTTATCAAATTTAATATTGTTAATTGAATCTCTGCGTTCCTTGTACAATTTCGCCAATAATTAAGCTGCACACAATTCTAGTCTTGGGAGTGATATGGTTTTGACTGGCGCAACTCTAGATTTTGAACATGGTAAGTTTACTTTGTAGCGGTACGTGGCTCGCAGCGTTGGTAGGAAATAGCATTGACCGCTTACAGACGTTTAGGTATAGGCAATTAAGCCTACCCTAAAGTCTGTAAGTCGGCGAAAATATTTTACACTTTTTACACGTGCGTAGCTGAATAGGCTACCCTACAATAAACGCTGCCAGCCATGTCCCGTTAAGGCTTCTTCGGCCGCACGGTCAGCGCGGCTCGGAAAAAACATTACAAATTAGAAATGCATAATTTTTCCCCTACCAAAAATCGAGGCGACGTTGGAGAAGGGAACTAGCTCCACCCTCGAAGTTTCTAAGGGGTAACGCCTTTCCGAAGACTAGTATAAATAAAGCGGAAAGGCGCGAGGAAGCACCTTTTTACATTACATTACTTTACATTACAACACATTACCCGTTCTGCCTCCGAACACTCATCTACGCAAATAAATAACTTGTAAACATATTTATCGCGAATATTAAATAACACTCTACATTCCGACAACTTCTTGCCTACTGAATTTATTAGTGGACCTAACATAAATACAAGCAACGTATGCTATTTCACTGGCATCGAAAAAACCATGAAGTTGTATTTCGATTGGATCCTGAATTATAACGTTGCGAGATGTCGAAAAGGTATTTAACCCTTTGCGGACGGAGATGTTCGACGAGTGAGCGTCACTGTGGACGAGAGGCATTGGAGCGCACACTAAAGAAAGTATACACGTTGAACGTTTGCGTTATAGAAGCTAAAACTTTATTTAATACGAAAAAACTTTTTCATAAAATACAACAAAATTATGAACAAACAACAAAAATAAATTCGGTTGTGTTTATATATTTCCCCTTTTATATTCGTGCATTGTGTGGTATCGTTCAAAGCAGTCTCTTCTTCCATATTTTACTTTCCGATTAGAACATACTACACAATCTTTACTCCTTCCTGTATCATCTCGCCGAATAATATCTAAAAGACCATTCAGCCTTTCTGCTGTTCCAGAAGTCGAAGGATTCTTGATTTCATGTCGAAAATCTCCAATTAACTGAGCCACCAAGCGACATACAAATTGTAGATGCATTAACTTTTTTATATTGTATTTCTTCTCATGTTTCCGATATAATAGATACGAGTTTATGACAGAAACATCCAAGCCCCAGAAAAATAATTTCCGCCACCATTTTTTATGCTTTCGGAAAAAAGCAGTACGTGCCTGTATACTGGTCTGCTTTGTATACACCGTCCATATATTTATTATAATCTATAACCACATTTGTCTTCACAATATTAGTTCTTCCTTCTTTGCGTGTCCTTTTAGTGATCGTTTTCGAAGACGAGGTAGCATAAGTGCTCTGAGCATTGTCACGATACGTTTATCTCTCCAAGTCAATAATAATGTGTCTTTTCGTCTGTAGGCAACGATTTCATTTTTCGCAATTTTTGGATTTTTTATTTGGCTTGGAATAAATTTCCTGTTCGTCTGGATAGTTCCAATTATGTAGCATTTCATTTCAAGTAATGCATCAACCAAGGGAATGCTTGTAAAATATCGGTCGTTAAAAATATAGTATCCCATAGCGTCAGGATTGGATTGTAATAAATTTTGACACAGTTGTAAAACTATTCTTGTGCTCATTGGGAGATCAGGTCTAACTAATTTCTCAGTGGTAAAACTGCCATAGCATGGCAAAATAGTACATAACCAATATTGGCATCCGCAAGAACATAAATACAGATACTCGACTTGGTTGGTTTTTGTGGGTTGTATGTAATGAAACTTACTCTCCCTTTAAATTTTACAATTGTTTCATCCACCGATAACTCCGCCCCGTGTACAAAATTTTCATAACATTTACTTTCAATCTAATCTAAAAAATTGCTAATTCTTTGCGTCCGTGTTGTCATGTTTTGCGTACCTTCAAAATTTACATTTGTATAAAGCATCTTAAATATTTGTAAGAATCGGTCTCTCCTGAATATTTTGGCAAAGTATGGGATCTTACACTTATTATCTGTTGATCAATATCCGTTTTTGTAACATTAATCCATGCATGCCGTGTGGACCGTTTTTTTTAAATGTTTCTCTTTTATTTTATTATTTGCGTACCGATTCTCGTCAACTATCTTCTTGATCAACTCATCGGTAAAGAATGAATTGAAATAATTAATGCTTCGATAAAATTGGATTTAGTTTTGAACCAGGATTTCATGATCCAGATCTAAACGGTATTTTTTCTAGAATGACGTCCGGATTGGTTACATTCCTCCATTCGTTATCACGACTGTCATTACTATCATGAATATTTATTTCTTCGCCACTGCTACTATCACTGCCAATATTGAAACGCCTGAGTGAATTCCTCGTTGTACTGATATCACTTCCATTGGATGAAGCAATATCGTCATCTTCCGTCTTGTCATATTCAAAGTAGTATTTATCAGTACTATCACTGTCAACCGTATCGTCTCTGAATCTTTTAGCCATTGTGTGTGGAATGTTATAAGATATAAAATATTAGTAGTATCGAGAATATTTATTGTAGGATGAATGGTTTGTTGTGCGTGCGTAAGGGCGACCAGGTCGTATTGCGACGGACCGGCGCCGGGATGTTTGGGAAATAGTGTGACTGCGTTTAGACAATTTCGAGTGGCTGAAAGAATGCAAGGAAGAGTGTCTGGAACTGAGCGACTGAACCGTGAGAAAAGCGTGTACGTGACTGCGTGAATTTGGACTATGGACGAAAGATGCGAGTGAGAAGGGTGCAAGGGTGAGAAAGACAGAGCGAATGGGGGTGTGTGTTAAAAGCGAGTGGA